CTGCATATTGGCTTATCCCATCAGAACACAGTACAACTGCAGACACTCCCTCTGCCTGAAGAAGGGTGTTTGTACCTGAAAGCTTGCCAAGAACATTTTTTCTAGCTATTTAGTTTGTCTAATAAAGGATACCACATTTATCCAAAGAACCTTGTCTGCCTGTGTCCTTAGACTAACGCGGCTACAACCAACACCCCCAAAAGTTCAGTCTCAGATACTAGTAAGGTGCTATAGGTTTCAGGCATCAAACAATAAAGGTAAACACACACCACTTCCACTACAGTCCTTCAGAAAACAACACACAAACATAGCTTCCTAATGCAGCCTGTTCAAATTCAACTCATGGGCATTGTCTAACAGCCCCTTCCTGTTTCTTGCCCAGCCCCTTCAATAAAAAGTCAGCCATCAGACCAGTAGGAGAACCAAGCAAATTTAGGTTCTATGCTAGGCAACCTGGCACTGAAAAGGACAATCATTCCTACCCTTCTCCTCAAGGAAGCTCTCCAGAGGTTTGGAGAGTAACATGGACTTGTTAACGGTAAAGATCTGAAAAAGAGTGGGGTACAAGTAGCTTAGAGCAAGCCATGTCAACAGCAGCTTTGGAAGCAAGTGAGAGATACCACAAGGCTTTAGGAAAAGCTACTGTCAGACAAGAGAGGCAAGAAAACCCAGAAGGGTCATACATACACAGCTGTATGCTTAGCACAAATCAATTTAATGATGTCACTGCAAACTGCCAATACATGCTCTTTAAAAAATTATCACACACACACATTTAGCTTAGTTATTTACATCATTCTTAAATTAAGTACCTGTCTAAGCATATTCACATGAGTAGTTTATGGAGATCTATTTAGCTACATCAGCGCAAGTTTTTTCTGAGGGAGAGCAGGATGGAGAGAGAAACCCTAAAATTAAGCTATAGGCAGGGGAGCTGGCAGTTCAGCAGTATCAGGTTCTGCTTGGATTAACTGGTGGCATGGGTTGAACATTACACAGGCCTGTGGTTTTTTAGACTGACTTTGTTTTAAAGTTTCTCATGTGCATTAGTCATGGAACAAGACTGTCCAAACTGACCCACCAATTACAATCTATGGTGCAGACTGGAATTGTAAGTACACACATTAAAGTAGCTTCCAAGGTGATCATACATAGAATGGTTGCACTGAGACATTTGAGTGGAAGGTTTGGTGAATCAGGAGAGGAAGATTTAGTTTTATCTAGGGTTAGTATTATCCCCACCTCCTAAACAGGATTAGACCTATACACAAAGTGGTACTTTGTCTTCAAATGATTGCAGTCCACAAGTAGCCAGCAACACTGGGAATGGCTATAAGCCATCCAGAAAACTCAGCATGCTACTGGAAAAAGGATGCACTAGTGACAATTTGAAAAGTGGACCTGGTTGATATAAACTGCTAGGAAGCAGCTTTATACTTAATTGCAGCTTTAATTCACTCAGGTTC